CCGGGCCATCCTGGACGTCCTAAGCCAGTTTTGCCCCAGCACGCTGAAAATCCGCGCGCATGTGTGGAAGATTGCAAAGCAGTTGGGGGTTCTTGCGCTCGATCGTGCTCCCCAAACCCCCTCCCACGTGGCAAAACAGTCGCGGCTGCAAAGGCGCACAGATGCGCGACCGACATCGCTTGAGCCGGGCCATCCTGGACGTCCTAAGCCAGTTTTTCCCCAGCACGCTGAAAATCCGCGCGCATGTGTGGAAGATTGAGAAGCAGTTGGGGGTTCTCGCGCTGGATCATGCTCCCCATACCCCCTCCCACGTGGCAAAACAGTCGCGGCTGCAAAGGCGCACAGATGCACGACCAACATCGCTTGAGCCGGGCCAACCCGGGCGACCTAAGCTAGTTTTGCCCCAGCACGCTGAAAATCCGCGCGCATGTGTGGAAGATTGCGAAGCCGTCAGGGGTTCTTCTGCTCGATCGTGATCCTTAGACCCCCTCCCACGTGGCAAAACAGTCGTGGCTGCAAAGGCGCACAGATGCGCGACCGACATCGCTTGAGCCAGGCCATCCTGGCCGTCCTAAGCCAGTTTTGCCCCAGCACGCTGAAAATCCGCGCGCATGTGTGGAAGATTGTGAACCAGTTGGGGGTTCTTGCGCTCGATCGTGCTCCCTAGACCCCTTCCCACGTGGCAAAACAGTCGCGGCTGCAAAGGCCCACAGATGCGCGACCGACATCGCTTGAGCCGGGCCATCCTGGACGTCTTTAGCCAGTTTTGCCCCAGCACGCTGAAAAATCCGCGCACATGTGTGGAAGATTGAGAAGCAGTTGGGGGTTCTTGCGCTGGATCATGCTCCCCATACCCCCTCCCACCTGGGAAAACATTCGCGGCTGCAAAGGCGCACAGATGCGCGACCCACATCGCTTCAGCCGGGCTATCCTGGACGTCGTGAACCAGTTTTGCCCCAGCGCACAGAAAATCGGCGCGCATGTGTGGAAGATTGCAAACCAGTCGAGGGTTCTTGTGCCCTTGTTACTCTGCCTCACATGACTTGCGAATCGACTCAAAACGCACCTCCATCTCTGTGTTGTATTGAGCCCCACACACCTCTCACTCTCAGTGCCCTTGTCGCTCTGCCTCACGTGACTTGCTAGTCGACTCACCCCGCACCTCCATCTTTGTGTTGTATTGAGCCCCACGCACCTCTCACTCTCACTGCCCTTGTCGCTCTGCCTCACTTGACTTGCGAGTCGACTCAAAACGCACCTCCATCTCTGTGTTGTATTGAGCCCCGCGCACCTCTCACTCTCAGTGCCCTTGTCGCTCTGCCTCACGTGACTTGCGAGTCGACTCAAAACGCACCTCCATCTCTGTGTTGTATTGAGCCCCGCACACCTCTCCCTCTCATTGCCCTTGTCGCTCTGCCTCACGTGACTTGCGAGTCGACTTAAAACGCACCTCCATCTCTGTGTTGTATTGAGCCCCGCACACCTCTCCATCTCAGTGCCCTTGTCGATCTGCCTCACGTGACCCCGCCCCATTCTCCCACTTTCCATCATCCCACTGCATTCTCCAGCTTTCCATCACCCCACCCCATTCTCCCGCTTTCCATCACCTGGCCCCATTCTCCTTCCTTCCATCACCCCGCCCCATTCTCCCTCCTTCCATCACCCCGCCCGATTCCACTCCTTCCATCACCCCACCCCATTCTCCCGCTTTCTATCACCCGCCCCATTCTCCCGCTTTCCATCACCCCACCCCAATCTCCCGCTTTCCATCACCTCGCCCCATTCTCCCACTTTCTATCACCCCGCCCTATTCTCCCACTTTCCATCACCCCGCCCCATTCTCCCGCTTTCCATCACCCCGCCCCATTCGCATTTTTCTACACCTGTGCGGATCGTTTCGCGCTTTCGAGAGAAAATGGCTCTAAACGCCCCGGAGGGGCCCGCTTCAAAGGGGGTCGGTCGCACGTTTGTGTGCCTTTGGAGCTGAAAACCATCCTGAATGGTGCGTGGGGGTATGACAAGCGGGACGGTGCGAAAAAACTCAGGGTGATTCGCATTTTTCTACACCTGTGCGGAAAGTTTCGTGTTTTCGAGAGAAAATGGCTCTAAACGCCCCGGAGGGGCCCGCTTCAAAGGGGGTCGGTCCCACGTTTGTATGCGTTCGGAGCTGAGAACCATCCTGGATTGTGCGTGGGGGAATGACAAGCGGGACCGTGTGAAAAAACCCGGGTGATTCGCATTTTTCGACACATGTGCGGATCGTTTCGCGTTTTCGAGAGAAAATGGCCCTTTTCGCCCCTCAGGGGCCCGCTTCAAAGGGGGTCGGGTCGCACGTTTGTGTGCCTTTGGAGCTGAAAACCATCCTGAATGGTGCGTGGGGGTATGACAAGCGGGACTGTGCGAAAAAACCCTCGGTGATTCGCATTTTTCTACACCTGTGCGGATCATTTCGCGCTTTCGAGAGAAAATGGCTCTAAACGCCCCAGAGGGGCCCGCTTCAAAGGGGGTCGGTCGCACGTTTGTGTGCGTTTGGAGCTGAAAACCATCCTGAATTGTGCGTGGGGGTATGGTAAGCGGGACCCTGTGAAAAAACCCCGGGTGATTCGCAATTTTCTACCCCTGTGCGGATGGTTTCTCATTTTCGAGAGAAAATGGCTCTAAACGCCCCGAAGGGGCCCGCTTCAAAGGGGGTCGGTCGCACGTTTGTGTGCCTTTGGAGCTTAAAACCTTTCTGAATGGTGCGTGGGAGTGTGACAAGCGTGACAGTGCGAAAAAACCCCGGATGATTCGCATTTTTCTACACATGTGCGGATCGTTTCGCGTTTTCGAGAGAAAATGGCTCTAAACGCCCCGGAGGGGCCCGCTTCAAAGGGGGTCGGGTCGCACGTTGGATTGCTTTTGGAGATGAAAACCTTTCTGAATGGTGCGTGGGGGTATGACAAGCGGGACAGTGCAAAAAAACCCCGGGTGATTCGCATTTTTCTACCCGTGTGCAGATCGTTTCGCGTTTTCGAGAGAAAATGGCTCTAAACGCCCCGGAGGGGCCCGCTTCAAAGAGGGTCGGTCGCACGTTGGCTGACTTTGGAGCTGAAAACCATCCTGAATGGTGCTGGGGGTATGACAAGCGGGACGGTTCGAAAAAACCCCGGGTGGTTCGCATTTTTCTACACATGTGCGGATCGTTTCGCGTTTTCGAGAGAAAATGGCTCAAAACGCCCCGGAGGGGCCCGATTCAAAGGGGGTCGGTCGCACGTTTGTGTGCGTTTGGAGCTGAAAACCTTTCTGAATGGTGCGTGGGGGTACGACAAGCGGGACGGTGCGAAGAAACCCCGGGTGATTCACATTTTTCTACTCGTGTGCAGATCGTTTCGCGTTTTCGAGAGAAAATGGCTCTAAACGCCCCGGAGGGGCCCGCTTCAAAGAGGGTCGGTCGCACGTTGGCTGACTTTGGAGCTGAAAACCATCCTGAATGGTGCTGGGGGTATGACAAGCGGGACGGTGCGAAAAAACCCCGGGTGGTACGCATTTTTCTACACATGTGCGGATCGTTTCGCGTTTTCGGGAGAAAATGGCTCTGAACACCCCGGAGGGGCCCGCTTCAAAGGGGTTCGGTCGCACGTTTGTGTGCGTTTGGAGCTGAAAACCATCCTGAATTATGCGTGGGGGTATGACAAGCGGGACCGTGCGAAAAAACCCCAGGTGATTCGCATTTTTCTACCCCTATGCGGATGGTTTCTCATTTTCGAGAGAAAATGGCTCTAAACGCCACGGAAGGGCCCGCTTCAAAGGGGGTCGGTCGCACGTTTGTGTGCCTTTGGAGCTGAAAACCATTCTGAATGGTGCGTGGGGGTATGACAAGCGGGACGGAGCGAAGAAACCCCGGTGATTCGCATTTTTCTACCCGTGTGCAGATCGTTTCACGTTTTCGTGAGAAAATGGCTCTAAACGCCCCGGAGGGGCCCGCTTCAAAGAGGGTCGGTCGCACGTTGGCTGACTTTGGAGCTGAAAACCATCCTGAATGGTGCTGGGGGTATGACAAGCGGGACGGTGCGAAAAAACCCCGGGAGGTTCGAATTTTTCTACACATGTGCGGATCGTTTCGCGTTTTCGGGAGAAAATGGCTCTGAACGCCCCGGAGGGGCCCGCTTCAAAGGGGGTCGGTCGCACGTTTGTGTGCGTTTGGAGCTGAAAACCGTTCTGAATGGTGCATGGGGGTACGACAAGCGGGACGGTGCAAAAAAACCCCGGGTGATTCGCATTTTTCTACACCTGTGCGGATCGTTTCGCGTTTTCGAGAGAAAATGGCTCTAAACGCCCTGGAGGGGACCGCTTCTAAGGGGGTCGGTCGCACGTTTGTGTGCGTTTGGAGCTGAAAACCTTTATGAATGGTGCGTGGGGGTATGACAAGCGGGACGGTGTGAAAAAACCCCGGGTGATTCGCATCTTTCTACACCTGTGCGGATCGTTTCGCGTTTTCGAGAGAAAATGGCTCTAAACGCCCCGGAGGGGCCCGCTTCAAAGGGGGTGGGTCGCACGTTTGTGTGCCTTTGGAGCTGAAAACCATCCTGAATGGTGCGTGGGGGTATGACAAGCGGGACGGTGCGAAAAAACCCCGGGTGATTCGCATTTTTCTACACCTGTGCGGATCGTTTCGCGTTTTTGAGAGAAAATGGCTCTAAACGCCCCGGAGGTGCCCGATTCAAAAGGGGGTCAGTCGCACGTTTGTGTGCGTTTGGAGCTGAAAACCTTTCTGAATGGCGCGTGGGGGTATGGCAAGCGGGACGGTGCGAAAAAACCCCAGGTGATTCGCATTTTTCTATACCTGTGCAGATCGTTTCGGGTTTTCGAGAGAAAATGGCTCTAAACGCCCCGGAGGGGCCCGCTTCAAAGGGGGTCGGTCGCACGTTTGTGTGCCTTTGGAGCTGAAAACCATCCTGAATTGTGTGTGGGGGTATGACAAGCGGGACCGTGCGAAAAAACCCCGAGTGATTCGCATTTTTCTACCCTTGTGCGGATCGTTTCTCGTTTTCGAGAGAAAATGGGGCGGGGTGATGGAAAGCGGGAGATTGGGGCGGGGTGATCGAAAGCGGGAGAATGGGGCGGGGTGATGGAAGGAGTGGAATGGCGCGGGGTGATGGAAGGAGGGAGAATGGATCCAGGTGATGGAAAGCGGGAGAATGGGGCTGGGTGATGGAAGGAGGGAGAATGGGGCCGGGTGATGGAAAGCGGGAGAATGGGGCGGGGTGATGGAAAGCGGGAGAATGGGGCGGGGTGATGGAAAGCGTGAGAATGGGGCGAGGTGATGGAAAGCGCGAGAATGGGGCGGGGTGATGGAAAGCGGGAGAATGGGGCGGGGTGATGGAAAGCGGGAGAATGGGGCGGGGTGATGGAAAGCGGGAGAACGGGGCGGGGTGATGGAAAGCAGGAGTTTGGGGCGGGGTGATGGAAAGCGGGAGAATGGGGCGGGGTGATGGAAAGCGGGAGAATGGGGCGGGGTGATGGAAGTAGGGAGAATGGGGCGGTGTGATGGAAGGAGGGGGAATGGGGCGGGGTGATGGAAGAAGGGAAAATGGGGCGGGGTGATGGAAGGAGGGAGAATGGGGCGGGGTGATGGAAAGAGGGAGAATGGGGCGGGGTGTAGAAAGCGGGAGAATGGGGCGGGGTGATGGAAAGCGGGAGAATGGGGCGGGGTGATGGAAAGCGGGAGAATGGGGCGGGGTGATGGAAAGCGGGAGAATGGGGCGGGGTGATGGAAAGCGGGAGAATGGGGCGGGGTGATGGAAAGCGGGAGTTTGGGGCAGCGTGATGGAAAGCGGAAGAATGGGGCGGGGTGATGGAAAGCGGGAGTTTGGGGCGGGGTGATGGAAAGCGGGAGAATGGGGCGGGGTGATGGAAAGCGGGAGAATGCGGCAGGGTGATGGAAAGTGGGAGAATGGGGCGGGGTGATGGAAAGCGGGAGTTTGGGGCGGGCTGATGGAAAGCGGGAGAATGGGGCAGGGTGATGGAAGGAGGGAGAACGGGGCGGGGTCATGGAAAGCGGGAGAATGGGGCGGGGTGATGGAAAGTGGGAGAATGGGGCAGGGTGATGGAAAGCGGGAGAATGGGGCGGGGTGATGGAAAGTGGGAGAATGGGGCGGAGTGATAGAAAGTGGGAGAATGGGGCGGGGTGATGGAAAGCGGGAGATCGGGGTGGGGTGATGGAAAGCGGGAGAATGGGGCGGGTGATGGAAAGCGGGAGAATGGGGTGGGGTGATGGAAGGAGTGGAATGGGGCGGGGTGATGGAAGGAGGGAGAATGGGGCGGGGTGATGGAAGGAAGGAGAATGGGGCCAGGTGATGGAAAGCGGGAGAATGGGGCGGGGTGATGGAAGGAGGGAGAATGGGGCAGGGTGATGGAAAGCGGGAGAATGGGGCTGGGTGATGGAAAGCGAGAGAATGGGGCGGGGTTATGGAAAGCGGGAGAATGGGGCGGGATGATGGAAAGCGGGAGAATGCAGCGGGGTGATGGAAAGTGGGAGAATGGGGCGGGGTGATGGAAAGCGGGAGATTGGTGCAGGGTGATGGAAAGTGGGAGAATGGGGCGGGGTGATGGAAAGCGGGAGAATGGGACGGGGTGATGGAAGGAGTGGAATGGGGCGGGGTGATGGAAGGAGGGAGAATGGGGCGGGGTGATGGAAAGCGGGAGAATGGGGCGGGGTGATGGAAGGAGGGAGAATGGGGCCGGGTGATGGAAAGCGGGAGAATGGGGCGGGGTGATGGAAGGAGGGAGAATTGGGCCGGGTGATGGAAAGTGGGAGAATGGGGCGGGGTGATGGAAAGCGGGAGAATGGGGTGGGGTGATGGAAAGCGGGAGAATGGGGCGGGGTGATGGAAAGCGGGAGAATGGGGCGGGGTGATGGAAAGCAGGAGAATGGGGCGGGGTAATGGAAAGCGGGAGAATGAGGCGGGGTGATGGAAAGCGGGAGAATGGGGCGGGGTGATGGAAGGAGGGAGAATGGGGCGGGGTCACGTGAGGCAGATCGACAAGGGCACTGAGATGGAGAGGTGTGCGGGGCTCAATACAACACAGAGATGGAGGTGCGTTTTGAGTCGACTCGCAAGTCACGTGAGGCAGAGCGACAAGGGCACTGAGAGGGAGAGGTGCGCGGGGCTCAATACAACACAGAGATGGAGGTGCGTTTTGAGTCGACTCGCAAGTCACGTGAGGCAGAGCGACAAGGGCACTGAGAGGGAGAGGTGCGCGGGGCTCAATACAACACAGAGATGGAGGTGCGTTTTGAGTCGACTCGCAAGTCACGTGAGGCAGAGGAACAAGTGCAATGAGAGGGAGGGGTGCGCGGGGCTCAATACAACACAGAGATGGAGGTGCGTTTTGAGTCGACTCGCAAGTCACGTGAGGCAGAGCGACAAGGGCATTGAGAGTGAGAGGTGCGCGGGGCTCAATACAACACAGAGATGGAGGTGCGTTTTGAGTCGACTCGCAAGTCACGTGAGGCAGAGCGACAAGGGAAATGAGAGTGAGAGGTGCGGGGGGCTCAATACAACACAGAGATGGAGGTGCGTTTTGAGTCGACTCGCAAGTCACGTGAGGCAGAGCGACAAGGGAAATGAGAGTGAGAGGTGCGGGGGGCTCAATACAACACAGAGGTGGAGGTGCGTTTTGAGTCGACTCGCAAGTCACGTGAGGCAGAGCGACAAGGGCACTGAGAGTGAGAGGTGCGCGGGGCTCAATACAACACAGAGATGGAGGTGCGTTTTGAGTCGACTCGCAAGTCACGTGAGGCAGAGCGACAAGGGCACTGAGAGTGAGAGGTGCGCGGGGCTCAATACAACACAGAGGTGGAGGTGCGTTTTGAGTCGACTCGCAAGTCACGTGAGGCAGAGCGACAAGGGCACTGAGAGTGAGAGGTGCGCAGGGCTCAATACAACACAGAGGTGGAGGTGCGTTTTGAGTCGACTCGCAAGTCACGTGAGGCAGAGCGACAAGGGCACTGAGAGTGAGAGGTGCGCCGGGCTCAATACAACACAGAGATGGAGGTGCGTTTTGAGTCGACTCGCAAGTCACGTGAGGCAGAGCGACAAGGGCACTAAGAGTGAGAGGTGCGCGGGGCTCAATACAACACAAACATGGAGGTGCGGGGTGAGTCGACTCGCAAGTCACGTGAGGCAGAGCGACAAGGGCACTAAGAGTGAGAGGTGCGCGGGGCTCAATACAACACAAACATGGAGGTGCGGGGTGAGTCGACTCGCAAGTCACGTGAGGCAGAGTGACAAGGGCACTGAGAGTGAGAGGTGTGTGGGGCTCAATACAACACAGAGATGGAGGTGCGTTTTGAGTCGATTCGCAAGTCCCGTGAGGCAGAGTGACAAGGGCACAAGAACCCCCGACTGGTTCGCAATCTTCCACACATGCGCGCGGATTTTCTGCGCGCTGGGGCAAAACTGGTTAAGGACGTCCAGGATAGCCCGGCTGAAGCGATGTGGGTCGCACATATGTGCGCCTTTGCAGCCGCAAATGTTTTCCCAGGTGGGAGGGGGTATGGGGAGCATGATCCAGCGCAAGAACCCCCAACTGCTTCTCAATCTTCCACACATGCGCGCGGATTTTCAGCGTGCTGGGGCAACACTGGCTTAGGACGTCCAGGATGGCCCGGCTCAAGCGATGTCGGTCGCGCATCTGTGCGCCTTTGCAGCCGCGACTGTTTTGCCACGTGGGAGGGGGTCTGGGGAGCACGATCGAGCGCAAGAACCCCCAATTGCTTCGCAATCTTCCACACATGCGCGCGTATTTTCAGCGTGCTGGGGCAAAACTGGCTTAGGACGTCCAGGATGGCCTGGATCAAGCGATGTCAGTCGCGCATCTGTGTGCCTTTGCAGCCGCGACTGTTTTGCCACGTGGGAGGGGGTCTGCGGATAACGATCGAGCAGAAGAACCCCCAACGGCTTCGCAATCTTCCACACATGCGCGCGGATTTTCAGCGTGCTGGGGCAAAACTAGCTTAGGTCGCCCGGGTTGGCCCGGCTCAAGCGATGTCGGTTGCGCATCTGTGCGCCTTTGCAGCCACGACTGTTTTGCCACATGGGAGGGGGTCTAGGGAGCATGATCGAGCGCAAGAACCCCCGACTGCTTCGCAATCTTCCACACATGCGTGCGGATTTTCAGCGTGCTAGGGCAAAACCGGCTTAGGACGCCCGGGATGGCCCGGCTCAAGCGATGTCGGTTGCGCATCTGTGCGCCTTTGCAGCCAGGACTGTTTTGCCAGGTGGGAGGGGGTATGGGGAGCACGATCGAGTGCAAGAACCCCTGACTGCTTCGCAATCTTCCACACATGTGCGCCGATTTTCAGCATGCTTGGGCAAAACTGGCTCGGGACGTCCGAGATGGCCAGGCTCAAGCGATGTTGGTCGCACACCCGTGCGTGTTTACAGCCGTGACTGTTTTGCTTGGTGGAAGGGGGTATGGGGATCACGATCGAGCTGAAGAACCCCCGACTGGTTCGCAATCTTCCACACATGCGCGCGGATTTTTAGCGCGCTGGGGCAAAACTGGTTCAGGACGTCCAGGATAACCCGCCTCAAGCGATGTGGGTCGCGCATCTGTGCGCCTTTGCAACGCGAATGTTTTCCCAGGTGGGAGGGGGAATGGGGAGCATGATCGAGCGCAAGAACCCCCAACTGCTTCTCAATCTTCCACACATGCGCGCGGATTTTCAGCGTTCTGGGGCAAAACTGGCTTAGGACGTCCAGGATGGCCCGGCTCAAGCGATGTCGGTCGCGCATCTGTGCGCCTTTGCAGCCGCGACTGTTTTGACACGTGGGAGGGGCTCTGGGGAGCACGATCTAGCGCAAGAACCTCCAACTGTTTCGCAATCTTCCACACATGCGCGCGGATTTTCAGCGTGCTGGGGCAAAACTGGCTTAGGACGTCCAGGATGGCCCGGCTCAAGCGATGTCGGTCGCGCAACTGTGCGCCTTTGCAGCCGCAACTGTTTTGCCACGTGGGAGGGGGTATGGGGATCACGATCGAGCAGAAGAACCCCCGACGGCTTCGCAATCTTCCACACATGCGCGCGGATTTTCAGCGTGCTGGGGCAAAACTAGCTTAGGTCGCACGGGTTGGCCCGGCTCAAGCGATGTCTGTCGCGCATCTGAGCGCCTTTGCAGCCGCGACTGTTTTACCACGTGGGAGGGGGTCTGGGGAGCACGATCGAGCGCAAGAAACTCCGACTGATTTGCAATCTTCCACACATGCGCGCGGATTTTCAGCGTGCTGGGGCAAGGCTGGCTTAGGACGTCAAGGATGGCCCGGCTCAAGCGATGTCGGTCGCGCATCTGTGCGCCTTTGCAGCCGCGAATGTTTTCCCAGGTGGGAGGGGGTATGGAGAGCATGATCCAGCGCAAGAACCCCCAACTACTTCTCAATCTTCCACACATGCGCGCTGATTTTCAGCGTGCTAGGGCAAAGCTGGCTTAGGACGTCCAGGATGGCCCGGCTCAAGCGATGTCGGTCGCGCATCTGTGCGCCTTTGCAGCCGCGAATGTTTTCCCAGGTGGGAGGGGGTATGGAGGGCATGATCCAGCGCAAGAACCCCCAACTGCTTCTCAATCTTCCACACATGCGCGCGGATTTTCAGCGTGCTGGGTCAAAACTGGCTTAGGACGTCCAGGATGGCCCGGGTCAAGCGATGTCGGTCGCGCATCTGTGCGCCTTTGCAGCCAGGACTGTTTTCCCAGGTGGGAGGGGGTATGGGGAGCACGATTGAGTGCAAGAACCCCTGACTACTTCGCAATCTTCCACACATGCGCACCGATATTCAACATACTTAAACAAATCTGACACACGTGCAAAGGCGCACAGATGCGCGACCGACATCGCTTGAGCCGGGCCATCCTAGACGTCCTAAGCCAATTTTGCCCCAGCACGCTGAAAATCCGCACGCATGTGTGGAAGATTGAGAAGCAATTGGGGGTTCTTGCGCTTGAACATGCTCCCTATACCCCCTCCCACCTGGGAAAACATTCGCGGCTGCAAAGCCGCACAGATGCACGACCCAAATCGCTTGAGCCGGGCTATCCTGGACGTCCGGAACCAGTTTTGCCCCAGCGCCCTGAAAATCCGCGCGCATGTGTGGAAGATTGCAAACCAGTCGGGGGTTGTTGTGCTCGATCATGATCCCCATACCCCCTTCCAACTGGCAAAACAGTCACGGCTGTAAACACGCACAGGTGCGCGACCGACATCGCTTGAGCCTGGCCATCCTGGACGTCCCGAGCCAGTTTTGCCCAAGCATGCTGAAAATCGGCGCGCATGTGTGGAAGATTGCGAAGCAGTCATGGGTTCTTGCACTCGATCGTGCTCCACAGACCCCCTCCCACGTGGCAAAACAGTCGCGGCTGCAAAGGCGCACAGATGCGCGACCGACATCGCTTGAGCCGGGCCAACCACTGCGACCAAAGCTAGTTTTGCCCCAGCACGCTGAAAATCCGCGCGCATAAGTGGAAGATTGCGAAGCGGTCGGGGGTTCTTCTGCTGGATCGTTATCCCCAGACCCCCTCCCACGTGGCAAAACAGTCACGGCTGCAAAGGCGCACAGATGCGCGACCGACATCGCTTGAGCCGGGCCATCCTGGACGTCCTAAGCCAGTTTTGCCCCAGCACTCTGAAAATCCGCGCGCATGTGTGGAAAATTGCGAAGCAGTTGGGGGTTCCTGCGCTCGATCGTGCTCCCCAGACCCCCTCCCACGTGTCAAAACAGCCGCAGCTGCAAAGGCGCACAGATGCACGACCGACATCGCTTGAGCCGGGCCATCCTGGACGTCTTAAGCCAATTTTGCCCCAGAACGCTGAAAATCCGCGCACATGTGTGGAAGATTGAGAAGCAGTTGGGGGTTCTTGTGCTGGATCATGCTCCCCATACCCCCTCCCACCTGGGAAAATATTCGCGGCTGCAAAGGCGCACAGATGCACGACCCACATCCCTTGAGCCGGGCTATCATGGACGTCTGGAACCAGTTTTGGCCCAGCACGCTGAAAATCCGCGCGCATGTGTGGAAGATTGCAAACCAGTCGGGGGTTCTTGTGCTCGATCGTGATCCCCATACCCCCTTCCACCTAGCAAAACAATCACGGCTGTAAACACGCACGGGTGCGCGACCGACATCGCTTGAGCCTGGCCATCCTGGACGTCCCGAGCCAGTTTTGCCCAAGCATGCTGAAAATCGGCGCGCATGTGTGGAAGATTGAGAAGCAGTCAGGGGTTCTTGCGCTGGATCATGCTCCCCATACCCCCTCCTACCTGGGAAAACATTCGCGGCTGCAAAGGCGCACAGATGCGCGACCCACATCGCTTGAGCCGGGCTATCCTGGACGTCCGGAACCAGTTTTGCCCCAGCGCGCTGAAAATCCGCGCGCATGTGTGGAAGATTGCGAACCAGTCGGGGGTTCTTGTGCTCGATCGTGATCCCCATACCCCCTTCCACCTAGCAAAATAGTCCCGGCTGTAAACACGCACGGGTGCGCGACCGACATCGCTTGAGCCTGGCCATCCTGGACCAGGGTTTAGGGTTTAGGGTTTAGGGTCCGCGACCGACACGCACGGGTCCGCGACCGACACCGCTGAAAATCCGCTCGCATGTGTGGAAGATTGCAAAGCAGTTAGGGGTTCTTGCACTCGATCGTGCTCCCCATACCCCCTCCCACCTGGCAAAATTGTCCTGGCTGCAAAGGCGCACAGATGCGCGACCGACATCGCTTGAGCCGGGCCATCCCGGGCGTCCTAAGCCGGTTTTGCCCCAGCACGCTGAAAATCTGCGCGCATGTGTGGAAGATTGCGAAGCAGTCAAAGATTCTTGCACTCGATCGTGCTCCCCTGTCCCCCTCCCACGTGGCAAAATAGTCGCGGCTGCAAAGGCGCACAGATGCGCGACCGACATCGCTTGAGCCGGGCCAACCCGGGCGACCTAAGCTAGTTTTGCCCCAGCACGCTGAAAATCTGCGCGCATGGGTGGAAGATTGCGAAGCCGTCGGGGGATCTTCTGCTCGATCGTGAACTCCAGACCCCCTCCCACGTGGCAAAACAGTCGTGGCTGTAAAGGCGCACAGATGCGCGACCGGCATCGCTTGAGCCGGGCCATCCTGGACGTCCTAAGCCAGTTTTGCCCTAGCACGCTGAAAATCCGCGCGCATGTGTGGAAGATTGTGAAGCAGTTGGGGGTTCTTGCGCTCGATCGTGCTCCCCAGACCCCCTCCCACCTGGCAAAACAGTCGCAGCTGCAAAGGCGCACAGATGCGCGACCGACATCGCTTGAGCCGGGCCATCCCGTGCGCCCTATGCCGGTTTTGCCCCAGCACGCTGAAAATCCGTGCGCATGTGTGGAAGATTGCGAAGCAGTCGGGGGTTCTTGCGCTCAATCGTGCTCCCCAAACCTCCTCCCACGTGGCAAAACAGTCGCAGCTGCAAAGGCGCACAGATGCGCGACCGACATCGCTTGAGCCGGGCCAACCTGGGCGACCTAAGCTAGTTTTGCCCCAGCACGCTGAAAATCCGCGCGCATGTGTGGAAGATTGCGAAGCAGTTGGGGGTTCTTGCGCTCGATCGTGCTCCCCAGACCCCCTCCCACGTGGCAAAACAGTCGCGGCTGCAAAGGCGCACAGATGCGCGACCAACATTACTTGAG